TACAAATCACAATACACAGCTTAGTGGCTTCTCTGTGCATATCATCTTTAAGACTATGCACCATACTCAAAGCATCTGCTAGCCCAGAGTTCATTATGCCTCCACAATGTACCTCAGGCTTCACACTGGCTGTCATCTTCAAATCATTAGATAATTCTTTGACAAGGAATGCAATTTGTTGTTGATTAGGTTGTCGTACTGGAACATTGGTATGGTTACCAAACTTAATGGCTGCCAGCCTGAAACTGTGTAATTCCTTGTGCCAAGAATAGTATTTGTTCATTGCAGACTCAAATTTTCCTACTACTGCCCTGCGCTTATTTACATCAACTGTAGAAGGGAGTTCTATTGCCAGTACAATGTCAAGCATTTGATTACAGTGAATTTTTAGACTTGGATCTAGTCCTGAAATGAAAAAAAAAAGATAACTTAGTTTACTTACTCAGCTAGTACCCCAGGGGTACTCTTGCCTATTTAGGGTAGGGTTGTGCCGCTGAGCCCTGAGAACCCTGACCCTGTTCCAGAGTAAAATTGCTGAAATTCCATACCCTGTTCAAGAGCAAGATCTCTGAAACCCATACCCTGTTTTACAGTTCTGTTACATGCGAAAATAGACAGTGTCCTGTGCCAGAAAGAGAACATGATTTCATAATATGAAATATATATACTATATACTGTTCCAGAGAGCAAGCACGATTGTATTTGAGCTGTTCCAGAGTATCCCTCCCCTATCCCCCCTTCCCTACCCTGGGTAGAGGGTTACAGTACTCTTATAGACCATGGTCAGCTGATTAGCTGGAGCAACCAAACATTTTTTACAAACCTAAGACACTATGATTTCTCAGTAAAGGTGGTTTTGATTGCTTCTCTCCATTCTTAGGCTTCTTCGGCACATCTCCTTTTTTCTTCTCTGCTATTTTTATTGAAGACTTGTTGTCTACTGTGAGCTCAACAACTTCCAAGTCAGTTAACCAAGGCATTTTATTCACTGCATCTATCTGCAATTGGTTGATTTTCTCCTCTCTTTTGGGTAATTGTAGTCTTAGTTGCGAATATTGCGGGTTTTCCTCATCTTCATCAGTTGCAACATAAAAGACATCAGATATTTTAAGACCAAGAGCTCTGCTTATTGACTCTCTGATGTTGTCTAATTGACTAACAGTAATGCTGCTCTTCTGGGCAGCTATAACCAAAAATAGGGACTCCATATTGTAGGCTGTAAAAAAAGAAATAAAAGAAATAATTTTGATTGAATTATAAAAAAATGAGATTTCCATTTAATATCTTCTATTTATAGGCAGTGGTTCCTAAAAGTGGTTCTTCTGCTAATGAATCAAAATGGAATCTAACTGGAAATTCCAATCCCCCTCCATGGGGGAAGTATAGGTATATTCTAGAACTACACAGTATACTTTCTTCAGACCCACCCCACCCCACCCCATGGAAATTCCAATCCCCTCCATTGGGGAGGTATGGATATTTTCTGGAACTACACAATATACGCTCCTCAGACCATCCCCACCCCTTGAAAATTCCAATCCCCCACCATGGGGAAAGTATAGATATTTTCTGGAACTACACAATATACCCTCCTAACACCCTCCCCACCCCTTGAAAATTCCAATCCCCCTCAACGGGGGAGGTATGGATATTTTCTGAAACTACACTGTCAATATACCCTCCTCAGACCCTCTGTACCCCTTGCAAATTCCAATCCCCTCTGTGGTGGAGTTATGGATATTTTCTGGAACTACACAATATACCCTCCTCAGACCCCCCCCCCCCCCCTTGAAAATTCCAATACCCCTCCATAGGGGAGGTATGGATATTTTATGGAGCTACGAAGTATACCCTCCTTGGGAGTTGCAATTCCCCTAAGGCACAGATTTTTTAAAATTTTAATTTTTTTAAACTTTACCGGGTATTCTTTCGATTATTTGAGCTGGTGGAGCACTCTTCAGCGTCGTGACTGAAGTTTTGCGATATTCCTTCACTCTGTTCGCTAAGTCGATTCTGAGACACTCCTCCAATAACTCTATAAAGAAGTCCAAGTTGTTCTCAGATAACAATCGATTCTTCTTCAAACAAGACACTAGTTGTACTCCGGGTTGTTTTGCTTTCTTTATCTCCAATACGTTCTCTTCTGGTAATTTCTCTTCAATCAGAAATATCGCTATTTCTATGTCCTCTTTAACGATTTCCAGACCAATTTGTTTTGTAAAACATAAAAATTCATCGATCAATTTTCTTGTTTTATCGTCAGACGAGTTGCCCGCCATTCTCGCCTCAAATGATTTTCAAAATCTAGTTTCTTCATTCCAGAGAGCTTTGAAAAACTTTACATGAAAAATTTGAGGAAACTCCAATACTTGTTAGGAAGTTTTTAGGCATTACTTTTGAGTATAAATTTAAACGAAGACAGGAAGATCTTGTTCAAACAGCTTCCTACTACGCAATCTTGAGGATTCGCCACAGGAAACCCAGATTTGCTTTCGAAATTTTATTCCGTTTTTAGGAAATTCTTATCATTTTAACGCAAAATTTAAACTCCTTGACTAGTAATTTCTTTTAATTCAATATCGATAAAGAAAAAAGAAAAAAGGTTTTAAAACGCAGCTTTTTTAACTAGACAAATTATGATAATTATGCACAAAATCTCGTGGAAATAGTTATGAGTCACCCAATCAGAATGCGAGTTTAATTATACGAGTTCGTGACCCGAACACGGTCACATCACGCTAATCACGATTTCAAAAAACAAAAAACAAAGAAGACTACAAAAACAAAACGAAACGAAAACAAAACAATAATATGAGTCTGCATTAGTAACTCCTTCCAGGGACCGCGGAGCGTAATTTCGATTTGGTGGACTTTACGACCGTCAACTGTTGGGTGCCCCTATCGGGGGATCGGGGGCTGGCCCTACTG